AAGTGGAGAAAGTGCCGACTGAATCAGTCTTCCCAAGATTACAATTCACAGGTGATGTCAATATTGAGATCTTATCACAAGGACTAAGAAGGGCCTTCAAAAGAACTTTCAACGCAGCTAAGCTATGCTGTGTATTTACTAACCGATCAGAACTTAGTTCAAGGAATAATGACGGACTGCCTTGTTTCGCCTCTCCCATGTGTATTTACCAGTTTGCCTGCCCGTGTGGAGCTTACGATCAGGCTAGTTCATTATCGAATTTCTGAACATCTCCCATCTTGATTTGACAAAGGTTTGAATAAAGCTCTATGCAGCTCAATACTAGTTCATCTCGTCGATACTGGACATCAATTCGACTCTAACAGCGCTTTTAAAGTTATTTATTGTATATCGACCAACCTCTCACCGTATGGTCTAGGAGTATGACTTTAACACGCAGAAGAGGTAATCAGAATTCATCTGAACAAGCCAAATCTGTGAGTCAGTTCAAAAACAAATGTTGTCAATGGACGTGAACATTGAACGTTTTTTTATTGGAACTGACAGCCATTGGTGGGCAACTCGAAGGCGCGAATAGTTAGATCGTTTGCAAGTTGAATGAAGACTGGAGTAAATACGAATAAAAGTACTTTATAACTTCATTTGTACTTAACATTTGTTTGTAGACTTTGTAGTTGTCTTCACTTTAATTGCCAAACAATATAATTTCGTTCAAGGAATACTGGTGTTTTGGATTTAAAGTTGAAGGACATACATAGTATTTATCGGTTCAATCGCCTACGTCTTCATTACAATAGGAACTTAGGGCTAAGTTCCTTGACAAGTGTGTACAGCCCCTCTCTTCACCACGGCCAACTACACAATATGTATTAAGTTTTTAAAAACAATTTTCTCTCCTACCCTTGTAACTATCTTTTGACTTTGTTAATTTCTACAATTTTTACAATTCTAGCTAATTCTATTAACTTGTTTGTAGTTTACGTAATTCTTCTGAGTCACCATCCTATTCTCTTTATTCGTCATTGCTATTTTCCAAATTTTTTGATTATGCAATAACTTGTAGCTAACGTCACCTAAGAATCAACTTATCTTGAATTCCGTAATTAATTTTCACCACCGCCCACCCCACCCCGCCTTTAAAACTTCGATATCTTGTTACTAACATCTGTTAGTTAGCTGATGTTTTGATGACTTTTAACCTCTTAATTTCACGCCCACGTCCTGTACGTAAAACTGATTAACTAAAATAACTGTTTAATCTGATAGTGTGGAAAATTCCCATATTATGAATTAAAAGTCAATCTGAACGAAGAATATTCTTTTCAATAATTTCTCTTCAGGTCCTTACAATTATAAAATATAATAGATTTGTTGTCGTTACAATAACAGCCAGTTATGCGCAGATACATTTTTAACGTAGAATAACAGATTAGCAGTTATGAGGGTGTCGAAATAAATAGTCGTATTTGTGTGACAAACGTGCTAGGCTGAAATCGATTACAAAATATTGTAAAACGGGAGACAATGGTGGTGATTAATCCTAATAGATTTGTAGAGTGTGGGGTAGGAAAATTGACAAGTCAGTTCAAGGTTATAAAAGGTGTCAGGTGAGTGAGTGACTAGTACAAAGTGGTCTGTGTTAAACAGGAGATAGTAAGACTGCAATAGGAGGTTCATAATGAGATAACGAATATGTGAAATGAAACAGGTGGAGGCATATATTGAGAAAAGAGATAATATCACTAATAATAATAAGTCCGGATGGTATAAACGAAAAATTCGGTAGTATGGAATGTTTGCATGAAGGGCATAAATTATGACTAATAATAATAATTGTAATCATAAGCAAAGGAAAAAAAAGCCAAGAGGGTTGAGGGGAAGGAGCACTCTTGGTGAGAAGAAGAATCATCAATCCAAGTTTGGCCACGGTAGGAACAGCGTCTGGACGTGTTCTTTTTGGATACAAAGTTCCGGTTTAGTCTATCTTATTGCAACAGCTTCAGCCGTGTGTAGCAGACGTAAGCGAACTGTACGTGATAACGACTTCGGAATTCGGTGTATAACCCTGAAAGCTGTGTTGACGTCAATGCTATGTCCAGTATCGACCAAGTGTGACAGGATCGAACATTTTATGCACTTAATTTGTCCCTGCTGAACCAAGCTGGTAAATGTTCTCGAACCCGTAGACGAACCTGCCTAATCGTGCGCCCTATACAACTTGAACCACAGGAACAGTTGAAATGGTATATGCATGAAGAAGAGCTAAGCTTAGGTAAGACATCTTTGAGTTGCTGGGTGAACATTGGACGACCACTGAAGGATAGACACATACGTGCAGAGTAGAAAGTTTTCTTGATCGCCCTGGTTTAACGTTGCGATAGAATCTCCGCACACACAAATACGACTATTTATTTTGACACCCCAAAACTGCTAATCTGTTATTCTACGTTAAAAATGTATCTGCGCATAACTGGCCTTTATTGTGACGACAACAAATATTATATTTTTATAATTATAAGAACCCGAAGAGAAATTATTGAAAAGAATATTCTTCGTTCAGATTGACTTTTAACTGTTTAATTGGTGAAAAAAATTTTGATGTAAAAAGCGAATATATATCAGTGTAGAGCCAGCCAGTCGATAATTTGGAACTAATTGAAAAGGAATGCATGACTACTTCTCCGCTCAATCTGTTGCTGTTGTTTTCTAAATGCGTAAATAGGTAATAAAGAAAGAGATGACGAAATTATCCAGTCAGTCAAGGTCATCTGATCACATGTCGAATAAAAATTCTCAGCCGATTCTTATCAAGGTCAAGCAAATCCTATTCATATTGAAGTTTACGTTGAAGATATTGTCTAGATAGGATAGTGAAAGCTACATAATTCAGTGAGCCAGCTTAGATGTAACAACAGAAGACAAGGGCCAGGCAACAGATCATCCATATGCTAACTGTATCCGCCTACGCAAAGCCTTTGTTCTCATTTTCTCACCACCAATATTGGGGACGTGAACATTGACGTCAATTACTGTCTACCAACTTTGGCTAGCAGCCAGCTCTCACCACAATATATTGCAACCAGACAGCAGAAGTAATCAATAGACACCAAAGCCAAACGACCTTGAACCAACCAATCAGATCGCTCATCCTTCCAAATGGATGCTGTTCACGACCTTCGTTGCAAGTTTCACCCAGATTTAATTTTTTGACTTCCACTGTGTGGAAAATGCGTTGATAGAGAGGTCTAAAACCTGCATATGTGGAGGGATAATGACGCTACAAAAGTATTGCCGGGTGGCTATTGACGGCTACGCATTTAGATGCAACCACTGTTATATGAGGAAGTCTGTAAGAGTTGGTAAGTCGTACATTATGGTGATTTTTTAGATACTTTCTTCTCGAAATCGAAACTGTCCCCATTAGTAAAATATTGCGTACATGCCACAACTGGCTACTGACTGACGCGACCAGTATCTGCTACAGCTGCAGAAACGGAGAATACAAAGATTTCAACAGTGCAGTGGTATTGTGGTGAGAGCTGTCTACTAGCCAAATTGGTAGACAGTAATTTACGTCAATATTTACGTTCCCAAGATTTGTCGTGAGAAACAACCAATCGGAAGACTGTGTTTGTTTGTTTACATATCCATAGTAATGTACATGAAAATATATAAATATGCGTTGATTTCCTTAATAAATGATCTGTTGCCTGACTCTTGCCTTCTGTCGTTACAGTATCAGTACTGCCGTGATATTGCGTCACTAAAGCTGAATGGAATCACCTCTGTACTTCGGGGGGGGGGAGATGACGTCGTCGTGCATAGTGACGAAACGGTACTTATTAAGCGAAAAATGAATCCTGACAGGACAAGAGCGAATCGTGTTTGGGTGCTAGGACTCTACGACATAAATCTTCATAAATGGTTTGTAGAACACATCCCGAACAGAAGTTCTGATGTCTTAATACCAATTATACAACAACTGGTCCTCCCAGGAACTACCATTCACACAGATGAATGAAGAGGTGATTCTCAATTATCATCACTAGGCTATATTCACCACAAAGTCAACCATTCTTCTGATTTGGTGGATCCTGTTGCGGTGAGAGCTGTCTGTAAGCCAAAACTGTAGAAACCAATTTACGTCAATGTTCACGTCCCAAATTTGGGTCATGAGAAAAGCCAATAACAAGGCTTAACCTTGAGAAAATCCCCAACCAATCACAGCGGAGTTAAAGTGTGCAAATACGATTCACAGAAGTATGGCCTGACTATCTAAGAAACGGCCACAAAGAGATGACAGAATCACCTCCAGCAAGAAAAAAACCAACCAGAAGACGTTGATTCTCTGCTAACAATAACGACAAATGATAATGTGCATAAAAATCTATAAATATCTGTTGATTTTCTGAATAAACGATCTGTCTGACCTGGCCCTTGTCTTCTGTCGTTACACTGAAACAGTAACACATACGAATTCCATTGAATAATTCTGGGCTCACCCCAAAAAGGCGTATCTAAAAGGTTGAATGGTTCCCGAAATGATATGGTACATAGCCATTTAGATGAGTTTTTCTATCGAAATTGGTTTAATATGTCTATAACCACTCCTATGCGCAACTGGAACCAGTTTTTGCAGCATTTTAGAGCCAATTATCGTGTATAATTCACTTGTATTATATATATAAGTATATATGCATATTGTGCGCCGGTGGCATAGCGGTAGAGTGCTCACCGACCACGCCTCATGTGTTTCGGGGTTCGGCCACCGACGCACTCCTTTACATCGCTAAGCCAGTAATAAGACTGGTAAAGAGGGAAGGTTGGGCATGAGGCTAGCAACCTCATCCTGTAAAAATAAATACCACTGCTACCGAAACTTCAAGCCTCTAGCTTGAAGCCTATGTTTCACTGGGAACGTAAAGGAATAAAAAAACATATATATATATATATATATATATATATCATCATCATCATTAAATCAGAGAACTGTTAAATACCTTGGAAAATAATTTAAACTTGATTGTATAGCACGCCAAACAGCATCAAAGTATCGCAGTAGTATAATCTGATTGCTTATTAAACTTCCCGGTATAATTGGTTTAAAAGACTTTAACATATTCACAGGAGACAGAGCAAATGCAGTAGTATCTGATGCAGTCAGTGAACCAGTCATACATTGTGTTGCTGTCAATTTATCAGGATCAACTTCCCATAATGTGAAACAAGTTAATACACGTTGAATAAAAAGATGCAGTAATTGATGAAGATACTGAAATAAAAATTTAGAAAAAAAAACAAAAAATAAACCAACATTAGTTCAAAGGTTAAGCAAAAGAAATGTGCTTTCAACCACCTTTTAATTGATTAAAGATGTAAACACCCATTGAAGTGGCCCGTCCAAAGCGGCGGTATTTCATCCTTCACATATCCATTGATCATTTGTCGACTGTAGAAATTGATAAGTAGCTCAGTTAGTGATCTGCATATGCAATTCTTTCTTCAGGATCTCAGCTACGGTATCACCTGTAAATTCAACGCTCATAAATAGCAATTTCTTCGGCACCGTCTGGGTTCTTTCAGGCTTTTCCCTTAACTTCATGTTTTTTTTCTCGATAAATCTTGGAGGATATCCATTCTCTATGAGGACTTGTCTGAGTCACTCCAGTTCCCCGTCGATTTTTGAGGATAAGGAGTGGATCAGGTTTCTCTCTCTTCTCAAAGGCAACCCAACTATGAAAAAAATTTGTGTACTGACCATTCCATGTTGGTTTCCTGTAGATCAATCTTTGAAGAGAATCACCAGATCTCCTTTTTAGAAAAACATCCAAAAATAAGTGGAATTCCGAGTTCATCTCTGATTCCGACGTAAAATTGGATGGTATTATGGCAGCTGTTGAACTCTCCAGTTATCAATTCGATGTCGGTATTGTCGTCACACATATGATGAAAGTATCATCCATGTATCTTTGGTACAAAAGGAAACCATCGATAGTAGGCCGTAACATACTATTCTCCAAACTTGCCAAGAAGCAGTCTGCAAGTAAAGGACCCAAATGGTGCCACTCCATCTCTTTGTCTATAAAGCGTGTTGTTGAACTTGAATTGGACATTTAAAGTGCATCCCGATAGTAGTTCCTTTAAGTAGTGGATCGGGACACACACGTCTACATTATTATCCTCAATGAATTTGCATATAAAGCAAATAGTTTCAGTGAGGGGAACATCGGTGAAAAGGGGCGTAACATCCATGGATATCATTTTCTACCTGGATATATTAGCATCACTTATTGAATCGACGAATTCAAATGAATCAGAAACATTATGTTGGCAGAGATTATTTCTGATAGGTAGAAGGATGTCTACGAGTCATTTGGCAGTAGCATGGTATGGGGAATTTGTCATATCCAAATGGATGTGTGAAGGATAAACTGCCGCCGCTTTGGGCCACCTCAATGTATGTTTATAAATTCACCTGCTCGTGTGGAGTTAGTTATATTGGCCGCACACACAAAGCGCACACATTCCGAACGCATCTCTGATTAAAGATGTATTTGTCAATCCAATTGATATTGTGCGATCAATTATATTAGCCGTTGCTCTATGAATTTGGAATTTCATGCTCAAAATCACTCACATACTAGTAATTTTTTTTATTTTATTTTTTATTTTTGATTACATCTTGATGCCACACCGTATTCTTATGTACAAGTATGGAATTTTCAGCATGGATATCGGTAGCCCAAATTTTGCAGGCCGGCCATAGATACCCGGTGTGCGTCGGCAGGGGATCGAACCCCGGACCATGTGCATGGTCAGTGAGAGTCCTAACCACTGTGCCACCAACGCTAAATAAAGGAGAACTGAGAGTAATCAACAGTTCGATATTAGATCGTCTGCTGAAAACAGGCTCAAAAGCCAATATTTACACATAATTTTTCTATCATCATCTGTCGTCTACCAAATAAATTGCCAAAAGATTCCAGATACTGAATACTGGACAGCTGTTTCGTTAGCTTAGTTTGGGACTCACCGTCAGTACGTAACCAATGGGTTTAGAATCCAGGGTATTCCGGTTACAAGGCAAACTCCTATACCCAGTGGGATGTCCATTGCTGATGAGTCCCAAACTAGGCTGACGAAAGAGCTAGCTGTCTAGTACCCCCGTGCTAGTACTCTCTAACTGATATCAATCCGTGGTCAAACTCGAAAAATTCTCCATAAAATTATTCACCTTGCAGAATTATATGGTACCATCATTTATCTCGTTGGCTTCTCATCAGCTGCTTACAACCTAAATTAATTACTGCTAAGTTCATGTACAGAAAAGTTTTGATATACTTCCAAATATTACATGATGTCAGTTGACAGGAGAATGCGGAATCGGTGAACAGTGTTCAGAAAATTACGCTTATGTAGTTTTTACACAGGGAGTTCAAGTTTAAACAAAGTAAGTGCATGCATGCAATGAATGGTAAAGGAGTTACGTAATAGAGACGAGAGATGCGTAAGATGATGAGTAACTAACAAATTAGGCAACAATGTACTGAGTTCAACTCAAATCATAAAAAGAAAAGGCAAGCAAAATTACACCATGTCGAAGGTAAGGTGGTTGTAGTTAAAGCCAAAGATTACGTAATCGGATGAGAGAAAGAATAAAGACATCCAGTTACCAGCATAGACAAAGAAAGACTGATAACTGCTTCTTTCTGAACACATGAATCGGGTTTTTAGCGTGTGATAAAGAGTGCTTCGGCAAACTTGAGGATTGAGCTTTTTTGTCTATTGATGATTTTAAAGGATTTTGCAATTTCCACCTCATGACCTGTATCAAGGAGATGTCTGATAATGGCACTATTGTTAGCATTTTCTCCCTTGAGACATCGACTTTTCAGTCTGCGTTCAGAAAATCGGAGATAGGCCCGTCTTCCTTTTCTCCTAAAGTAACTGCTCTCATGTTAACTCCGACTGTGCGTCGGTGGCACAGTGGTTAGGACTCTCGCCGACCATGCACATGGTCCGGGGTTCGATCCCCTACCGGCGCACACCCGATATCTATGGTCGGCCTGAATTTGGGCTACCGATATCCATGCTGAAAATTCCATACTTGTACAGAAAATACGGTGTGGAATCAAGCTGTAAATCAAAAAAAAAAAACTGTATATACAAATTTACATGTATCTGTATCGATTTTACAGAGTGGTGGGGGTTACTAGCCTCAAGGCCTCCCCCTCGAATCTTCCCTCTTTTCCAGGTCTACTGTCGGCTAGTAAATTAGGCAAGGTTTCGAAATGGCTCGGTCAGGAATTCCACCCAGGACCTCCCAATTAGCTGGCGGGCGTTTTACAATTGAACCACAGGCGCACAAGACAGGTTAAAAAACACAAAGCATAAAATCTAGTAAGTACACGGGTGAACAGATACTTGAGTAGTTTTCTCTGTATATGCATTTATTATGTATCAAATTTAAGATGAAGTTTAAATGTGAGAATTGACCAAATTTGTCAACTTTTTCATTATGAGTACAAGTACTATAAGTTGCAATCCACTAACTATACTACCTACCTGGGAAGCATCGTTTCAACTACAGGCGGACGGAACTGATGAGGATATCAAAGCGAGGATCGGGAAAGCAAGACAAGCCTTCATTACTCTCAAGTCTGTGTGGAGGTCAACAGCACTACTCAGGATGAAAAACAAGATTCGGATTTTCAGCTCCAATGGGAAGTCTGTACTACTTACTATACGGATCAGAGACTTAGCGCTGCATGATGAAGACCACTTCGAACAAACTACACACCTTCATCAACAGCTGTCTTCGCTCAATACTACTCAAGATCAGATGGCCGGCCAGAAAAGATCAGCAACAGGGAGGGATTTCTGGCAATGAACGAACCAATCCAACAGGAACCAATTGTGCCACAGATATACAGGAAGAAATGGAGGTAGGTGGATTGGAGACCATACTCTGAGAAAACAAACCATCAAGTGATATCACACGCCAAGCCATCGGTCGAGTGGAACCCGAAAGGGAAGTGGCGAGTCACTTGTTTGTCAGTGTGAAGGTGATATGGAGGGGAAGGAGGAGGAGGTGATGCAAACAGGCGATGAAAGCACCTGGGCAGACGTGGAGCCAGGTGAGAACGTTGACGGAGAACCGAACGCAATGGAGACGTGCAGCTGAAGCCCTCCGTATGTTCCTCTAGGAATTAAAGGAAATAATAATAATAATAGTAATATAACTATACTAGAATAGTTCTCATCCTAGTGACTGTAAAGACCCTTTCAAAATTGTCTCCCCAAAATATGACAGATAATTATACAGTTATTTACTGTTTAATCAGAGAAGTACAGGAAATTTTAAATTGCATAACTCTAGAAGCCCTTCACATGTTAAAAAACCATTGGCCAATGGTCATGCTAAAATCAGGAATTGGTAGGAGTTAGAATTCATAGACTAGCCTGACGAAACATCTGGCTTTCCAGTACTCCCTGCCTGCCTGGTGGTTTTCCAATGGTTCTCTAACTGATGTCAGCTCATGATGAAATCCTCCAACCAATCAAACTAAATCCCTACAAAAATCAATACTTGTAAATGACCTTAATTTATTTTATATACTTGAAAAAATACTTATGTTTCCATTTCCGTTTCTTTCACCTATAATAAGAATTATGCATAGGAAACTAGATTCTGTGCTGATTCATTCATGTGCTTGAAGTAAAAACCAATCAGGTGGTAGTAGTTAATTTATGACCTTGATGTGATTGGTTTATATTGTATAAAAGGTATGGTGTAGTGACCTTAAACAATAAAAAAACTGGTGACCTTCTCCTACTGACTACTATTTAATAAATAATATGTAGCGTATTTGGTATGCATCAAACATTCAATATCAGACTGACCAGAACAGTCTTGTTCTTGATGGAAAGTATATATATATATATATATATATAGTTTAGATGCAGTTGCAGTCTTGTATCATTACATTGTCTCCAGCTTAGACAAGGGGGCTAAATTTGTTAGCTTGCTGAAACTGAAACTGACTGTTGGCTTGTCAAATGGCTGCATTCTTATTTCTCAGGAAGAAAGCAGTACACTGTATGTCAGGGAAAGTTGTCCACTTCATTGCTTACTGAGGCTGGTGTCCCTCAAGGCACTGTCCTTTCTCCTTTTCTGTTTTCTTTCTTCTTGCATGACTTGCCTCACTCTGATAACGAAATGAACTTTGTTAAGTATGCCGATGATCTAACTATTTCAATGTCTGTTAACTC